TAAATAAGGCAGAGGGAAGCAGAAACATTACATTGCTGTGTGTCACCAGAGCAACACTAGACTCTCTAAGGTAGGCTAAGCAGGCAAGGGTGTAGTTGGAAAGAGAATGCAGGAGCTGTTGTGACAGACACCTAGTTGGTCTGGGGTCAGATATGGACACATATGTAGAGTGGAGAAGGCAGCTATGCAAAGTCATGTCCTCCTGAGAGGTCCCTGGGTGGACAGTGGACTTGGTAGCAAAAAGATACTGGACAGAGACAAAAAAATATGAACCTTCTGGAGGTGTTGAGGAACCAGGGAAGGGTTTCGAAATGTAACATTTATAGTGATTCCCTTCTTTCCTATAAAAGCAATAGATGGTCATTGTAGAAAAATTTGAAGATGGGGGGGTCGAAAAAAGATGCTAAATGCTCTCTGCTTCCTTGCCCTACAGAGGAAACATCTTGTTAACACTCTGAAAGGAATAATTTTTCTCTTTGTCTGTCTGTCTGTCTGTCCACCCTTCTAAGTAAATGAATGCAAACTGCTCTGGTAGTAAACAGAGAAGAAAAAAGAAGCCACTGGCCACCAGCCTGGGGAGGGTGAATGCAAAGCCAAGACGGGGGTTCTACTGTCTTGAGGGACTGGTGGGGCCTGGAGAGGGTGGTAGGGGAGGTGAAAGGGGGGTAAATAGTAAAGGGGCTTAGGGAGGGCAGCGTGGCATTCTACATGTGTGTGAGGCTCCCTCAGAGGGAGACAGAATGGCTCCTCTTCTCATCCCCATGGCTCTGGTAGAAGTGAAGAAATCAGACACGTGCAGAACACCAGAAGATGCACAGCGGGGCGTGGGGCGTGGGGTGTCGGACCATAGATGTGAGCTCTAGCCTACTGACCTTACTCTGGTTGTCCAGAGCTTGACCAGAACCAACTCATGTGAGTCTAGCAGTCCCTAACTGTACTCAGGCATTGGGAGACTTACACAGTTTCTCCCTCCTATGACCCTGGGTCCATGTGGCACAGGGGGTGGATCCTAGCTCTTGTGGATGAGAGGCCTTTGAAGGATGTTCTCCTGGCCTGCAGCCTTACCCCACTGTGGCTCTCTTCATGTCAGGGAATGGCAATGCCAGGCCTGGCTCTTGTCATCTTCTACCCAGTTGTTCTGTCTTCCTACAGCTCTAAAAATGGATTTTCTCATTTTTAGTGGTGTTTCTGCAAAGTACTTGGACAGAATTCATGTCCTGTTTATCATTTATTTATCCAAGAGACAGGGTCTCCTGTGTTCCAGGGTAGCCTTGAACTCACTGTGTAGCTGAAGAGAACCTGGAACTTTGGATCCTCCCGCTTCTACCTTTAGAATCCTGGGATTGTAAGGGAACTACCACACACAGTTTCTGTGCTCCTGGGGATGGAATCTGGAGCTTCCTGTATGCTGGGTGAGCACTCTACCTACTGCCTGGGAACTTACTTTAAAATCACCGTTCTTACAAACACAGTGCAGTCATGCAATCCAGAAGTATCCGTCGCTTGTCTGTTTTGTGACCTTTCCCTGTACTATCCAGGGAAGATGGGCATGGCCCTTTCTCAGTCTAGAACTCTGGGTACCCACTCATCTGCTCTCTGCTCTGGCTCCTACTCCAGAGAACAAGAGAAAGGCCCCCAAACCCTGTCAGGTGTGGATGAATCATAGGGCATCCTCTTCCCCGAGAAGACCCAGGTACCCTTGTCCGATTATTTCTCACAGCCGCTAATAAGGCCACTCGGGTGCCATAAATAGACATATGCAGGAAGGATGTATTACCCAGTCAACCACAACCCCCTTCATCAGCTTGAAGATGGGACTGGCTCCCGTCTGACCTCAGCGTTTCCCCTGTTCTACCCCAGAACGATTGCTCCCATGATGCCTGCAAGATGCCCGTCACCGCTCCCCATGGCGCCTATAGGGAGCAATTAGTCTCACATCCCCACTGGACTCTGCTTCCCAGCAATGACCCCTCCTTCCCCAACTTTCAGGGGTACTTCACCTTTCACCTCATGCCCCTATTTTTCCGCACCCAAATCTGAGTCTCTTGTTGATATAACAGCTTCAGTGTGGGGCATGTTCCTCTGAGAGAGGCCAAGCGAGAGGTAGCTGAACTTCAGAGGCCAGGAATGTGCCTGAGGCAATAACAAGGGGACCCTGGGACCCTGGGACCCTGGGACCCTGGGACCCTGGGACCC